ACCCTATTTAAAAGTGTTTCGCGCCGCGCCTGTTTTATCTTAAAGGAAATGTAATATTGCTAAAATTCAGTGCTTTATGGTGTTTATAAAAGTGAGATCTAGGATTGTATCTAATTGTATTTTAAATAGTAACTTCAAATCATACGATACAGAGCGATGAAGATTTGCTATTTTAGACAATATTCAAAGGGCCGTAGATCTTAAATAAAAAAATAGTAGCAAAACAAATTCGATACAATCCTACCTTTAACCTTCCTATGGTACAATCCATTCACAGCAATTAAAAAAAGTTTATTATATACCAGTAAACAGACACGGCCCGGGACGCTGCAACTGTAAAATTCTAGTAAAATTTGATTAGGCTGCCACGTCTTGCGGAATTCAAACTTAAGTTACGTGTTACCGCCCATTTGATGAAAGGAGGAGTTCATTCTTATCTTTCCAACATAATTTTAATCTACCGGAGTTCTTAGCAAAATCATTTTCTTTGAGTTTTAACATGGACCCTTTAGGTAAGTAGGCACTGTAGATGCTTACTAATAGGTACAACAATTGCAGCACATCTCCTATCTCTGTGAATAGACGCTATAATGCAACAAAATATTATCCCCGATTTTCCGTCTGTCTGCCCGTTCATTTGTCTGTCTACGCACAGTAAAACTTTGGTCTTAGATCACCTATCGATTGCAGGTTGTCGCTGTACCGTTGCTTAGGCTGCGTTTAGTTGTGCGAAGTACATACCAACAACCATTTGTGAAATTAAAGTTTTGGGTACTACCTCACTCAATTTTGTGAAATATTGCCATTTCCGAAGTGACAGGTTGCACAATCATTTTACTTGCGAATCGGTCGAGTCGCAGTGGTAAAAAAATCTACTCAATTGAAAACAAATTAAAAGGAAATTAAAAAAATAAAATTTGGAATGTAAGAATAGTTATTTGTACAACTAGTTTTGAAAGTGATACTTTTTTTCATGAATTTGCAGATTGATTAATGAGGGCGAAGCCCGAGTTAATCAAGCAAATTCATGGAAAAAAGACACTTTCAACACGTGTTGTAAACGAAATTTTTTTCCATAGTGATCCATAATAACCCACAATTGAATAATTTAATTGACATTCGCGATTTACTGTCACTCAAAAATGGATGCTATTGTTCATAGACAGGACTAAACTCCATGGAAACGCATAGTAAAAATCGTGAAAAAAAGGACCACTTTCCATACGATTTTTCGTTAAAAAAAGTCCGATAACTTCATCACTATGTAAAAAAAGATTTTCTTCAGTCACAGAGATTGTACATAGATACATTTAAATTTAAACCATTTCCTAAATTAAGTTGGCTCACATAATTTGAAAATTAAAACATTAAAAAATCTAAGGGCAATACCTTCCTAAATTTCTTTAAAACCGTAGTTCTGATCAAATATGTATTTATAGCTTTTGAAATTTCTCGTCTCCCGAATGTTGCCCAAGGTAAAAACCCCTTTAATTCTTATAGTAGGACTAGTGTTTTATTTTGGAATGTTTTGTATCTATATAGTGTCAATTCCTCTCTTCTTCCTTTTGGGGGCTTTCGATTGATGTTCAAATGTTCACAAATTATTGCAATTCATACATTGCTTTGCAAAAAAGTAAGTTGTACCGTGTGTCCTATTTTGGTTGAGACTGCAGCAGTGCCGGATTTAGGGGGGTTATGGGACTATTAGCCCCCGGCGGTAAAGCGGTACGTCGTCGCTGGGTCACACAAAAACCCTAGCAAAAACACGTTTCATGTTTTCGGGAAATCTACATTTTGCTGACAAACGACAAACGGGCGCTTTATTACCTCATCATCCGTTATCTACCTCTATTTTCCATTGACTATATTGTCGGGCACATTTACTTGTTAAACTTTTATTACAAACAATTATTAAGCGGCAGAGCAAAGCGATGTAAGCTTTATAGGGGAGTCGATGGTGTCCGTCTGTCCGTCAGATTCGGTTTAAACTTTGCACAGTCGACCTGCATGCCACATATAACAAGCCTATTGAAAATGGGTGAAATCCAATGATCCCGAAGGGCATTGAATAAAACTGTTTTTATTCAATGCGTAGGGTCACACCGAGGTGCTATGCCGCTTTTTTAGATGCTCTTCAGGACTTCCGTTACGTCATTACGCGCTAGCGCAGAAAATTGTACTCATTTATTAGTGGAGTGTTTTCGTGAAGTTTTTAAAAAATGAGCAGAAAAGAAGGAGATGCATTTTGGAAACGACAAAACTTAGAAAAACAACAAAAATTAAATGAAGTATTACAAAAAATCCCAAGATTTAGCTATTTTCCCTACCTACTGGCGGCATAGTATGACTTAGTCCCCGGCGGCGGTCCATGAATTAAATCCGGTACAGGACTGCAGTGTATCTGAGCTGTTTTCTGTTGCGGTTTTCGCGACCATGTGCCACTTTTTGTGAAACTTCTAATACCACAAATCAAAATCAATCTAGCTACGTTTGTGTCTGAGATACAGGGTGAAAAGTATGATTTTTTGAGATGTTATCATAAATCGTACCATGTAAGATAAAAAAAAGTAAAAACGGTCAAGTTTAGATATTTTTACCTTGAATCTAGTGGCGTAGTAAAAAAATGTGTGAAGCATCGTTTCTGAGATTTGACCCAAAACTCATATTTTTTAAATGCAGCACTCTGTATATCTAAACGTTAGTTATGTTTCATTCTTTTTTCTGATTACATTGATGTATCACAACCTATACTTTTTTTATATGATTATATATTATATTAGGTATTGTTCAAAATTTTGAAATGACATGCTTCTACCACTAGCGATTTTTATCGATTGATTTTTCTTACCATGGATACATTAAACAAAACAAAATCTACCTAAATCCTACCTACCATTTAAAAACCGTAAAAAATAAGGTTTTTATTTTTGGTTCATGGCTAAAATTGAAAAAAAATAGGTTGTCAATGCAATCAGAAAAAAGAATGAAAAACAAATGCTATTAAGATATACAGGGTGTTGAATTAAAAAAATGGCAACTGTGGGACAAATCTCAGAAACGATGCCCCAAAAATTTGCTGTGGCTAGCATAGATACCACCTGCACACCTGTACATGTGCGATTCTGCCCTTTTATGTATAAGAATATGGGTACCAAATTTGGATCCAGTCGGTTCAGCCGTTTAGCCGGAAATGAGAATTTGACACACTTGCGCATGCTGGATTCTGCCCAAATTATTTTCAGTTCTTCCTTTTATGTTTATGAATAGGTGTACGGCAGGCATGTCAAATCTCTATCTTTAATAATAAGAAAGTTACCCATGCAATCCCACCCGATCTGGGACACACTGTATATTACTAAAGTAACTACTCACCTCTCTTACTGCTGCGACGAGTAAAAGTCGACTACCATTATCTTTTTGTCGTTAAAAATAACGAGCAAGGTTAGAAATAAGTTCCTTACTTTTTGCTGGTGTAAACCCGATGGAATTTTTGTGTTATACTAACTTTCCGCGCAGAATATCGCAGTGAGACGAAAGTTTTATTTCAAATTTACTTGAGAAAAATGTATGTATTTATGTCTGCGCTGCTGTACAGGAAATTGTTAGGTCGATTTAAATTTTCATGTTTCATTACAGTTTTAAATTAACTCAATCCAACAGTTTTTACTTATCCAAGAAGCAAAATTTATTCTACACAACCTCCTATTGCTTTAGGGTATTCCTACACCGGGAGGCTTTTTTATACAGTCGCTATAGCAATTATGATTGAAATCGTAGTACATCAATTTCGGTATAGTACAAGAAAAAACAATTTTAATCCGCCACTCATTTGCAATATTCCCCCCTGTGAGGTGTAATAATATTTTGCCCTTCGAACGGCAATTTTTAATTTTCAGCCTAGCTTCAATGCGATTATTTTTAAATGGAAGAGATTTTATTTAAATAAGGGCCTCTGTGATTATATTATATGAGTCTCATATTGAATGCTCTTAACGAATATTCCAATGATGTTAATTTTGAACATCAAAGGATCAAAGCGCAGAGCTCTTAGCCAATTGGATGGATACATTGAGCTTTTCCATATCGTGAAACAAATAGCATTCCATCCGATCACTAATTGTAATTACATTTCTACTGCGGTTGGGTACTCGAGCATAGTATAGATACGAGTTTATAATATGGAAAGGTTATGCAATGCGAAACTAAGATTAACATCATCCAAATATATTTCACACGTAATATGGCCTCATACCACCCATACAGGTGCGTTATTAAAGTGGGATACAATAAACAATCCACAGAAGAGAATATTTTAAACTCGCAACGTTGGATGATTTACTTCCTAAGCGCTTGCCAGTTAAGAGTTCCGGTCGAACGTTTCTCACCTACCCTTAATACTCATTGTATCATTTATATTATAGTCTGCATTTTGCGGCTTAATATAAACCTTGCCGTTCGGACAACCTATTGTATAAGGCATTCATTAAGATTTTCGATAATCTCAAACACCATAACTTAACAACTTGCCTTTCAAACACACCCTCGCTTGCTAATGAAGTGCTTAGTTAGCATACCGGAAAATTCAACCACATAAATGATTCATAAATAAAAGTTTCTTTAAATACTGTGAGGTTTTGCACTTTCGCAAATATTTAAGAGTAGGCAGAACGTATTTCAAGTAAGACACGAGGGGTAGTATATTATTATAATTTATAGGCAAATACTGATGGAGATACCGTGATAATATTTTAACACTCCAAATTGCGTGTTTAACAGTTGCGTGATTCCATGTTGTTCTTGACCAATTACATATATAGTCATGTATCAATTTGACACTATCGGATTCCCAATAGAGAACATTTTTGACAATTAGCTAAGAAGGGCGAAGTGATTAATGTCATCGAGTTTTAATTATATATCGATACAGAAGTGTTAGTTATCTGAATTCACACACCATTTGCGTTGCCTCTAATTTATACATTAATATCTATTTATTGCAGTTCCAAGTGTAGAAGGGAGTATATTCAATATCACCAAAGTTAACAGACTTCACATGGGACCGTATTTGTGTATAGCTTCCAATGGAGTTCCTCCCTCGGTTAGCAAGAGAATAATGCTTATTGTTCATTGTAAGTTGGTAATTTCCATAAATGACTTTTCCTTATCATAGCTCCGTTTCAGTCCCGCCCATGATATGGATACAAAACCAACTTGTAGGAGCTTACGAAGGCCAACAAATTAGCTTAGATTGTCACTCTGAAGCTTATCCCAAATCCATCAACTACTGGACTAAGGACAGCGGTGTGATCATTTCGCAAGGTAAAAAGAACCTTTTTAAACGTTTACAAGGCATATATACGACGAACTTACTCTTATTAAAATAAAACATTTTCAAATTCAAAACTGATTACCTATCAAATTGCGCATTCTGTCTACGAACCAATTTAATTTTCAGATCGTAATTAGTATCCTGAACGTTTTTATTTACAGGTTCACTTTTCAGCAAAATTTAATTTTCCGTTGAGATGGTTCGAAGGTTTTCTTAAATAAATTGTTTGTCAGGCACTTAAGAAAAGGTGTCTCAGAGGAGCTTTGCACTTTTCTTTTATATATTTGCGAGCTATCAATTAGGTATTTATCAACTAACATTATTTAGAACTTAAAGATAACTTTGGTTGAAATTTATGTAAGGGAAATGATAATGTCTAAATGTGTATTTCGTCGCTGACACTGTTTCGAGCGGCGCCGGCGCCTCGAATTTTCCATTGCGCTTTTGCAACAGGAGTACGGATTGCAACTCTGACCCGGATTTTTAAACTGAATTGAATTTTTCTGGTAGTTCCCACGAAACAATGATTTAACTACTAGAAATTGCGAACACAAACGCACGTTGTTTATAGTTATCTAGCCATTCCATTATGGTGTATTTCATTTTTGATATTAAATTTCTAAGGCCAGGTAATGGATGTGCGACTATTGCTAATTGGTGTAAATTCAGGGTACACATACATTTACTATAGTATAGTAGCAAGTAATGCGAGTGGAACTTAAATTCTAGGTATTTTTTTTAATATAGGAGTCGAAAAAATTTCCTGGAAATCTTACGGTTATATGCTATGAACCTTTGCAGGAGAACCCTTGGGTCTAGAAGGTGATCGCGTACTGTAGACAGTGCTTTAGGCGTTCCAGATCTATGTAAAGTTCTGTAGAAAGAGCTTATTAAATACTTCAGAACCTTGCGCGTTTTTGAAAGCACTCATCAGGGTCGCCATTCTCCTTTTTATAAGTTTGATGTCTTGCTCTAAACTTACTGGGTGCACCCTAAAACTGTTCTTTTCAAATATTTGTCACAGTTTTCAAGGTGTTTAGAGGGTGCATGCCAAAACATTCTGAAGTTATCTGAAGAAATCTAGAACTAGTCGCCTTCCAACATTTTATAGCGCTTTTGCTGACATTCAATCGCCTTTCCAACATTTTTAGTCCCTGTTCTAAGCTCAGGAGAGGAATCTGAACCGAGAAAATACTACGAAGGGTTTGCAGAACTGTGAAAGTTGTCAAAAATGTTTAACTCGGAGCTAGATCATTTGGGATGGTGTTCTAAATGTATTTATTGTGGTTGACAAGGCTCTAGAGAATGTTATTCAGCCTTAGAAAAGGGTTAAAAGGTTAATAGGAAGCTGTGGGATTCTGTGGGAACGCTCTGCCTTTTTTTATTGCATAAGTGGACGCTTAGTGCTTTGGACTTATAAGACTAACGCTTAACAAAGTCTTATAACCAATCTCAGAGTTTCTATATGCATCCATCAATCATATTGATGTTTTTTGAACTTTTTAGATTGTTTCCAAAACTCTGAAAGTTTTCATTTATTCTAGAGAAGAGAAGAGGGGTTTAAAATGGGTCGAGAAAGCCCTCGAAAGAGCCGGAAGGACCAAAAATCTGGCTCTGGGAGGTCGATCGGATTCTCTGTAAAGTATAGTTTTCACACATAAACTAACCAAAATTTCCCCTTTAAGAATCAAATATTAATTAATAGCGGCGCGATGTAACCGATACGCATGGCTTACTTACCCAAAGTCAGCTTTACGTTTGACAGTTTTATTAGACTTAGGTGCAATATTGCGTATATGAATCTGAATAGAAAACACGTGTTCTAACAAGACGAAACAAATACAAAAAATAGTTACATATTCAAGAAAAAAATTACATGTTACAGTGTCGCGTAAGTTTGTATACTTGGAAATTCAAATTAAATCAACATGACAATCTCGACATTAATGTAAGTTTCTTAAAGAAAAGTTGTAAGATTCGATGGGATAAATTCAATGGGTGTAGAAAAAAAATTTTGCCTTGAAGTTTACAATGTATTTTTTATGGCAATAATTCCATGGTCGTGTCGATGATGATTATGAACTATAAACGAATGAATTTGGTTTCAATCATAATCAGCCATGGAATTATTGCCATAAGAAATATATTGTAAACTTCAAGGCAAAACTGCAAGGTTGGTTCCCAAATGAAATACCAAGTGTTTAGTATCACTGGTTTTGTAATTTTTTGTCTATTAAGTGACGAAAAAATCCAATATGGCGCTTAATTAAAATAAGGAAATTGATGTCAATAAATTGAAACCGCCATTCTCAAAAAAATTGTTTCTACGTCCATTGAATGTATCCCATCGAATCTTGCAACTTTTATTTAAAACTTGCAAGATTCGATGAAATAAATTCGCGATTCTTTTTCTTTTATTTGAAATTTTTTTCGAGAAAAATTGAAACTTTGCCACCCTGTATAACGAAAATGACGCCCTTTACACCACGCACATATTTCCGATTTTTTTCTTATTTTGACGAGTGCTATCACCCCCTGAAATATTTGCATGACATTAATTAACAACCTGTGTTTTTAAAAACATGCTTGCCAAAAGTTCCCATTACTCAGGCTTTAGAGAGGCGGACAGAGGCGCAAATTTTAGTGCTTACTTACATGTAGCTTTTGCATCGAGCCGGCCCTGTGTAACGCAACGTCGCAGCTGGGTACCCACAAGAAGAAAATCGAGGTGCATTTCTCGGTAATACTTCTGGTTCAAATGGACAATCGGAGAGTGAGATCTCTCACAACTCGATAATGGAGCAAATTCGCAAATGGAAAATAATAGATATACCAACGAGGCGGTTCCACTGAAAGGGTCAAAACTTTAAACGCGAATAACTTCCTAGCGGAGCGGCGGAAGTGAGTACCCACAAAGGGAACATCGTAGGTCTTGTCGAGGTACTTCCCCCGTTCCAATTGCACCAGAAAACGAGTATCGGAAGTGGGTATGAACGAAACTTTAAACGCGAATGTTTTCCTAACGGAACTTTATTTAAGGCTTGGCGTATGTCGTGGCAGAAGGGCGTGTTCATTGTACAGTAATATTATTTTATTACGAAGGAGATATGTCATTCTTATTTGAAATGGGGCGCGGAACACGATATAAAATGAGGTTCAGAACATACGAAAATTCTGTTTCTATGGAAAGGACCACGACGGCAAAACCTAAGCTTGCTATATTTGATGTCTAAATTAAATTCAGGATTGTCACAAGCTTTACAATTGTTTATGTGGCTTCTGTTATAAAATAAAGTTTTGTATTATACACGGCCATAACACTAACCCTCTTGAAAGTTAATTCACTCCTGCGCGCGCGGCACGTTATAATAGATACAATACAGATCACTATTTTATTAGAAAAGATTAAGATTATCGATTTCACGAGTAATCTAACTCAAAATAGACTAGAGCCTGCACATCTACACTGCAGAAGAACGCTTTTAATGAAAATTTGGAGTCTACAGCTATTGTAATTACTGAGCAGCCGGAAAGCCAGCCAGCCAGACAGCCAGCCATAACCAATATAGCGTATTTTTCAAAAATGCGTTAAAAATATCACCACAAATGCGTAATCGCGTTATTTAGAATCGTTTGTAATCGCTTTAAATCGCCGGCCGTTGCTGCAAATAGGTAGTTCCATTACGTGGTAAAACCTCGGACTCGATAATGCTTTATATTCACAGTAAATATCCAACTTTATATTAGTTTATGTAACATGAACTTTAGTCACGATTTTCCGCTTTCAAAGTCTAAACCGAAAATAAAATAATTTATGTAATAAAAATTTACTTCTAACTCAGCGTACACCTTTATTGTTTTATGAAGTGTATCTGATTACAAACGTTTGAAATATCCGTATGTACAAATAACGCTGTAATCTAAAACGCATTGTGGAACGGTGAAGTTACATAAATGTAAACGGTTTGTTTCATTAAAAACAGGATATATCCCCACAACTGACACACAAATAAGCATTTGCAGAATTGAAACAGAAATTTTGGTTCTTGCTTTAAAATAATAATTTCATTTCATTTTCAAATATGCAGTAGCTGAGAGATTTCTTCTAAATTATACATTAGGATTATTCAGGGACTCTATAATAACGGCAGTCAGGTGTGACCAACTTCTTGCTTGGAAGCAGCGTAGGGCTCGTGCACTTTTAATGAGACGCCTATCATGCGTATACACTGTGAATTTTCATGAAATTTTAAACTTACATACATGAATCATTACGAAACTACGTCATTTGTTTCAAAGAAATTCATTTAAATTGCGTAGTTGGTCAGTTAGGGATTACTTCTGCGTACATACCTAAAGGTACCTATGTCACACTCGACACTAACTTAGAAAAGTAGGCAATGGAAGACAACCGTGCCGCCCTTCTTATTGCCATGCCAACTCTGCGCCCAGACAACAAATTGTATTACCGATATAATCCTTCCGCATAGAAACTTGTGATTCATCAATCCGTTAAATGTTCCATTGCGACTTGGCCCTTGAAGGCAGAGTTGTACGATTTATGCTTTGTTTACCATGAAATCTTTTGACTGTTAGTGATACAAAGCTCTTTAAACTAGCTTTGGTGAGCATCTGATTATTGTTTTGATGCCTATATGAATGTAAACATCCCTTGTCACTCCCCTACTTTTGCGGATTGCTTAATCAATCAATCAATCCTGTTACCGTTGCCTAACCGTTGTATCTATTTTTCTCTCTGTTTGTCTGGAAAGTTTAGATACCGTATCAGAAAAAAATCTATGCTGTACAGTCACCAATAAAACCGCTAGATAACTATCAAAAAAGTTCTTAACAAACAAAATTCACAGACACTCTATAATGGTGTTGCCCCAAAATTCTATTGCACACCAAAGATTCACAAGTTCAACGTTCTATTTGTTTACTCTTCACCCGTGCCATTTACCAAAAAAATCTTGTAGGCCACTCAATATATTAAAATACAGGTGTTTTCCTGAAATAAATATTTGAATTTGAAATCCCAACAGTAAATTGCGAACTCGATGTGCAGGTTACAGGTGGCCTGCTAAGATCGAATCTGTAAAGACATCCCAAAAAAACCTCGTTGGGTTCAAAGAAATGCTTTAGAAGATGTGAAGGCTGAAGAGGCTTAATGTTACTAGTTAGTCTTCTACGAGAGGTGTGATACTATTGACGACGACGTCAAAAATACCTAGTGATCATTCAATGGTTTGCTGCAGAAGCAGAAGAGAAGCCGCTACCTACAAAATCCACAACCCAATCCATACAGCACACTGTGACCTTACACTTATGGCGCCCGGGCAAAATTGAAATTGCAGGCACATTCAAGTATAAATTCACTAGAACTAAACTTATTCTAACTTTTAGGCGCATTTATTTGTGTAATTTTCCAGTTTTCCAAACTTGAATAATTTTGTTTTCCAGGATAATTTTATTTCTTTTAGTTTTTCCAGAACCAGAACATTTTTAGTTAGTAACAGTACAACAATCCCGTTCTTACCCGGACAAGATGCCTGGAGATGAACTTCAAATAAAAAAAATAAGGAATTCAAAACTAGTTGGATATACAGCCTAAAGGTGGTATTAATTTACAGAAAGCGTTACGGCATGCTTTAATCGCACGCTCAGGGGTGCTTTAAACTGTCATTCTGATGCAGGAATAATAAAAATTTGAATGGACTTTCCCCAAATACTTGTACCACTTTCCTATTTTTTTCTGCATTACGAAATTTAAAGGTTCAGATGTAGGGAGTCTTTATTGGAAATCCGATTTGGCCATAAAATTGAATTTTGATAATTTAGTCGAGGCATTTGTCTCTGATAAAACGCGAACGGCACGTTTCCAAATGTTAAGTTATAGTAGGTAAGGGCAATGTGTATACAGGATCGCTGATAAGTCTGGAAACGGTTGATTTATCGGTGAAAATATACAAGGCATCAATAAAAGTTTTATACAAAAGATTTGAGGTTCTTTAATGTCTACTAGGAAGTAGTAATTTTACTCAGGGTTGGTCATAAAGGCGCGGCACACCAATAATGCATTTTTTTAATGGAACGCTTTGTATATGATTCGATATTTCAATTCTTCTCTTAATTTTGAGCTTAATTTGTAAGATGCAGAATGTACTCAAAATGCAATCGTTTCCGAGTCGAGTTTTCAAAATAAAAACTATTGCTTTAAAATTTATTGAATAAAGAACAATAGTTAATGACATCACGAATTTCTTTTGAAAACATTCCGTGGTTCTGAAGTACCGTGTGCGAAGTTTCTTATGATCGTTTGGAATCATTAATTATTGTGTTATGTTCAATTCTTAATGAATTTTAAAATAACAGCGTTTATTTTTAAAACTCGCGGTATCACAGAAACGATTGAATTTAGGAGTACCTTATGCTTATTACAAATTTTGCTTAAAATTGAGAGAAGAATTTAAATATGGAGTAATATACAGGTTGATCCATTTATAAAAATGCAATTTTGGCGTGCCGCGCCTTTATGAGCGCCAACCCCAAAACTTTTGTATAATAGTATATTAAGAT